GATGTAGAAAAGATGTGGAGACTCTAGAAAGAGTGCAGAGAAGAGCAACAAGGATGATTAGGGGACTGGAGACTAAAACATATGAAGAACGGTTGCAGGAACTGGGTATGTCTAGTCTGATGAAAAGACTAGGCGGGGACATGATAGCAGTCTTCCAATATCTCAGGGGTTGCCAGAAAGGGAGACAAGCTATTTTCCAAAGCACCTTAGGATAGGAGAAGCAATGGGTGGAAACTAATCAAAGAGAGAAGCAACCTAGAACTAAGGAGAAATTTCCTGACAATTAATTAATTAGTGGAACAACTTGCCTCCAGAAGTTGTGAATGTTCCAACACTGGACGTTTTTAAGAAGACGTTGGATATCCATTTGTCTGAAGTGGTGTAGGGTTTCCTGCCTAAGCAGGAGGCTGGACTAGAAGAGCTTCAAGGTCCCTTCCAACTCTGTTATTCTATTCCTTTCTTTTCTATTCTATAATTACCAGGATTATCCTATGTGTCTTTGGTTAACTTGCATATATACTATTGATGACTAAAAGATACTAAAGTCAACCAGGATTAATGGCATTAAAGGTTGGGCATGGGCTGAAGGCAGCTGGGCTGCCTTCTTGAGTGGCCACAAAGCAGCCTTGCTTTCTAAGGCTAATTTACCTCAGGTAGTTGCTGGATTCCCCCAAAATGGCAAGAACTGGATTCACATCTATTCATTTAATGAGGTTCCCTTCTATAATTCAGTTCTATCATTTCTAGGTTCTAAAATTTAGCTGAGAACCTTGCTTCCATATTTTAGATAGAAATCTCTTTTGCCTGTATGATAGAAGGCTACAGTCCTGAAATTTTAAAGTCTGGTGATTTCTTGAAGATAGGAAAGATAGGAAATGGGTTAACCTTTCATTGTTAACTTGTAAACCAACTAAGCTGTAAACCTCAGTTGATAAATAATGGCTAGCTTCACACAACAGCGAAGCCAAAACCAATTAACTGCTACACAAATATTAGCGAAAATAGGAGAAAATTAAAAACTCTTTAAAGTGGCCTTATTTTAGTGAAGGTGCTAGCGGTGTAACTGTGGAAAGTCTGCATCCCTCAAAAAGGCTAAATTTATAGGCTCCGCATCTCACCATCCAAAGCAATTGTGATGCTCTTTGCAATGTGACTTTCCTATCTTCAAGAAATCACCAGCCTTTAAAATTTCAGGACTGTAGCCTTCTATCACACAGGCAAGAGAGATTTCTATCTAAAATATGGAAGCAAGGTTCTCAACTAAATTATAGAAACTAGAAATTATAGAACTAACTTACAGAAGGGAACCTCACTAAATGTTGGGTTGCTTTCCTTTTAAGAACTTCTAGGCTGTTCAATTTTCATTTTTTACCTCAGTCACAACTTCGGCCTGAATTGATCCAACCTTCCCAGCAAAGGCTCCAGCTACAGGCCTTTTGCCCCAACCCTCAAATCTCTGTATTTAGGGCCTAAGGATTGCCTGTTTTTCTTTGCAGAGGTGTGACAATTTTATCTGAGCCTTGAAGGTGTCATTCCTCAGTTTAAGGAGGTGGGGGGGGGAGCCCACCTGCCGACAATGCCCTTATTTCTAGGCTGCAACACAGTGGAGTGTTGGTTTTATATCCAGCCTTTTGTTTAGCAAGCCAACAGAGGGCTTGCAGTGCTTCCTCTTCTCCTCACAATAATCCTGTGAAGTAGACTGGGATGAAAAAGAGGCAAGAAATAAATCCAACATGACTCAGCACTTTCTCAGTTTTAAATGGTGTGCAAGGCTGACCATACCGTCGGACCTTACGGTTTTTAGATTTATTAAAGAAACAGCCAAATTTTAAATGCACTTTTGTCCACCAGCAAATTTTTGCATTTCTTCTTTCCCGGCCCCACCCTCAGTTTCAGCCACTTCAGAGAATCGCAACCAGTTCCAAAAAAATCTCCTTCAATGAAACTGTCTAAAACTCCCTCCGAAATTTACTAGTGAGAGAACTCCCCAAGCTTTGACAGCTGTCAAATCTGTATTTTCTGAAGCCTTAACTGTGGCCAATTATTAATAATGTAGAATTTTCTGATATAACCTACTCCATCAGCTTACATATAGTGATCCTGAGGTGGCTCAGTTTATCAGAATTTTTAAAAACGAATCCAGTGCTAAGAGTGACCAATGGCCACCCCAAAATGATCCTTTCAGTATTACCATTCTTTTCTTGCCATGTCCACTCCAAAAACCTGGCGTTTCTGTTGGATTGGGGGGGGGGGGTTCCCTAGGACAACTTGGAGTGGCCAACTAGATGAAGGACAATCCATGTGGGTTAACTCAACGTGGTATTATCCACCACTATTTCTCTATATGACTTCCATTTTTTTGTCAATGGAAATAATGTCAAGGAAATGGTGGCAGATATTTATCACATTGAGTTATCCCATGTGGAATTCTTGTGTGGTGAGTTGGTTGCACCAAGATCTCTATGCCAGATTGGCCAAGGCAAGATGGCTGCGGTGAATTGGCTGCTGTTCAGACCTAGGCCTCCCAAGATCACGAAGCAGAGTCCTTGCCCGATAAAACCTTTATTTTGGTTAAAGGGAATTCCTCTTCAGCAAAGTGCCAGCCAACAGTCTTCCAAGAGATTTCACAACTACAGACCTTTATCAGGCTTGGAAAGTTGCCAGGCCGATATCTTCAAAATGCCACACTGTAGCAGCAATTACTTGGCCAGAAGTCAGGAACAGATCTTCAATGAATTGAACTAATTTGTCTCCTGCAAACTCCATTCCTCCCTATGGGAGGGGCCATTCACAGTCCACCTGTGCCTTTACTACCGAGTCGACCCTTGTTCCTTAGCTGTTCCCTTCTCCTGGCAGCTCTGTGCATGCGCACACTGGGAACAGGTTCCAGCTGTTCTTCTGCCCCACTGATATCCGACTCTGAAAACAGATTATAACAGTCGGACGGTCTTGGCCCCATCTGTCTTAACACAGAGCCCTCATCAGAGCCTTTCCTAGACTCCATGACTGGCCCATGTTCTTCCCCAACCTCCTCACTGTCTGAGTCTGCAACCTCTCTTTTCGCTCCTCTTTATTCCCCATGGGAGGGGGCATTCAACATCCACCTGTGGCTTTACTTCCAAGTCGGCCCTTGTTCCTTAGCTGTTCCCCGATTTGGTGGCATTCATGCTGCATTTTCTGTACGGAGTTCTCAACCATGTCTAGCCACTTTCTTATTCCAAGGTTCGTGTTTTGTCATCACAAATTCTTGCATTCTGCCTGCAAAACGACCCTAACCTCACTTTTATAGAGTGTTTTATTGAGCAAGTCTTCCCAATTGAAATAATAACAATTAAAAAAACTGAATGTAGCACTTGGCTATTTTAGGAACCACTTATTTTTGAGCTGCATCACAATTTTTTTTTAATCACTTGACTCCCAAACAAATAGGTGAGATATTTAAGGCTTTTTCCTGTTGACCTGGAAAAGTCAGGAATGTTGTTGTTAGTTGCTAAGTCGTGTCTCACCCATCGGGACCTCATGGACAATGTTCCTCCAGGCCTTCCTGTCCTCTACCATCCCCCGGAGTCCATTTAAGCTCATACCTACTGCTTCAGTGACTCCATCCAGCCACCTCATTCTCTGTTGTCCCCTTCTTCTTTTGCCCTCAATCGCTCCCAGCATGAGGCTCTTCTCCAATGAGTCCTTCCTTATCAGGTGGCCAAAGTAAAGGAATTCAACCACCAAATGTTTTAATTCTGAGCTATTGCTCAAGCACTCTGAAAAATGACACCGGAGCCAAACAACTGTCATTTAATTTTTAAGATTTTTTTTCTTCTTCTTAAAGATGACTTTCCAATTTACATTAAGACAGTTCTAACAAAGTCATTCCTTTTTCACAAAAAAAGAGAGAAAGAAATTATATTAAATAATTTCTGCCAATAAATAACATTTGTCACCATTCTTCTTTAAACATAGCTAAAAAGAGAGCAAGAAAGGAGGCAGTCTCCAGGCAATGGGCAAACATCACTTCAGAACCAGGAATCCCAGTCCTTGCCACACATTCCCAGGGTTTGTGATTGTTTGGGATGAGAAAAAAACCGGCAAGGCGCTTCCGTGAAGCAGCAGATTAGCTAAATCAGGGAGAGGTGAGCGGGCTGCCACCCTACAGCAGACGCTTGTAGGAGGTGAAAGCACCTTTGTTCCTGAAGTTTGGAAGACCCATTGTGGACTCCCCTCCTTAGTACATGCACCTTGCTTTTTTTTTTTTTTTTTATCATGCAAGATAAAAATAAAAATTTTTTAAAAAGGGCTGGGACCAGGCAGCCTCACAGGCAAAGGGGCGGGGGAAGGGGCAGTGTGCAGAGTCTCTGATTCTCTGGAAACCCCTGGGCTGGAGGGCTGTTTTTCTTAGTTTCTCACCATTTCAAAATTGATTTTGCTGCTTTTGTTGCTCAAGATGTAGATCAAGATTGTCCCTGGAATTAGGGGGAGGGGGGAAATATACACACATACACACACCCGCGTGCGTGACAGAAATTAGAAAAGAACAGGCGGAGAAAGAAACAGAGGTCATTCACAGATTCAAGATAAATTAATGACTGGTTTGTTTGCTTGTTTTTCCAAGAAAGTGGGATTGGGCAGGCATCCCAAGTGCAACTCCCCATCGTTCATCTGGGTTGGGAAATAAGACTATGTGATAGGAAAGGATCCCAATCCAACAATTCTCTAAATAAAACATTCCACATTTCATCTCTAAAGTAGAGAAGAGCCACATGCTAATCTGGCATGTAATCTGAAGCAACTAATGACCATTCTTTTTGGAACACCCAGATTGTCCCTTCTTTGACCAGAAATCTCTCCCAGGGCATTGCACTTTTCCTCCACAAACAGAAACCAACCAGGCCCTCCCCCTTTTGCCCCCAGAAGCAAATCTGCAATACATGCTCCCTTTTGGAGTTTGAGAGGGAGCTGACTTTTTAAACTTTGGCCGGCTTCAAAATTTGGGTCAAAGAGATCAGGAAGTATCTGGTAGCGCTAAAACTTAAGGAGCTGTTGGTCCAGCAACATGCCATGCCAGGAAAGGAGCACTGCAGGTGGCCCTCTCTTTCACAGGGAAAACAGGGCAAGGGGAGGCTTGAGAAACGGAGTATAGGTTTCAATACTGCTTTTCTTACCCCTTGCGCTAAAATGGTGGGAGGAGAAAGGAGAAAGAAGGGGAAGGTCTTCAGGGCTTGTCTCTTTAACGCTCACACTCTTTGTCTTCTACCACACACGCCCTTGTTTTCACAGCATTAGGAATTTAACACACTGTCAATGGAAGAAGACAAAGCCAACAGGTAGCATGCAACCACAAGTACGTTGCCTAACTAGAGCGGGGGGGGGGGGGATGGTGGTCATTTTATGACTCCCGGAATCCTGAGCCAAGATCTACAAGTCATAAAGGGACATGATTCCCCACCTCTGAACTAGAGAGTCCGAAAACCAAATCTTTTTGCCCCAAACCATACTGCCACCACCAAACACTATGTCGAATTCCAAGGAGTCTAAAGTGGTCTCTCTTTCACACCTTGAAGGTGAAAGGAGAAGAGTAACAGCTCTAGCTGGTGGAGATTAAGGCCACTCTTGCCTCAAACCTACCCCTCCCTCTGAACAGCCATCCTATTAAGACTCCAAGGCTTCTCTTTCATAACAGAATTGGGGGAAGGTGGGGGGGGGGTTCAGTAGATGCAACACTTTAAACCAATTGGACAAAATACTGCAAGCAAGCTTCATTGGCTTTAACTTCATAAAATGGAGGAGGAAAAGGAAGCTTGGGGGTGGGGCGAGGGAGAACTAGAGCAGGACCTAGCCGCTCAAAAGATCAGAAATTTAGGACTGAAATGTTTTCACCATTTCCTAAATCAGTACCCCATGTTATAATGATCTCTAGTAGGCAAAAAAAAAGGAAGGGAGCGTAGACACTGTTGCCAAGAATTATAATCTCTGCAAGGTGAGAGAACGAAGTTGGCACTACATTTCAGACATTAAGATTTTTTTTTAAAGACCAGCTTTATTTTATAAACATTATTACTGTTGCACGAGAAGATCCAAATATATGTGGTTCAGGCCGTCGTAGTCTAAATGGTGCCTTTTCACATTGATTCCTTGGAATATGTATATATATTTTCATCCATATGGCTGAAATTAGCAAATGAATAGCGCCTCCCCCCCATCCGTAGGAGGCTCACCATTTGAATCTTATCCGACGCTCAGAAGAAAAAAAAAAGGAAACAGCTGGATGGAAACACACAAATGGGTGACATGGCAAAGACTGAACCAAGCCACTCAAGATGTATGCGATTAAATGAAGCCCTTTCTGAGTGGCCTGCAAAAATCAAGTACCTTTCGGATTAGAAATATTCTAACCAAGGCTGTCTCATATCCTACCAGTGGTAAAGGGTTAGTTCACGAAGGAAGGAATTTGGAGCGGCAGTCTGTAAAAATGAGGTGCCATAGTCAACCTAAACAAATGCTGTATGAGGCCCAAGTGGGTGCGAAGCTCCCCGTCTACAGGAGGATCCGTCACACGATTTAGGTGGAGGTTGGTGGAAAAGGGGGACAGCGATGAAAATGCAAATGTCCTCGATTACATCGGTTCTAAAAATGCCCCCCCCCCTAATGTCTTGATTCTTAAGATGAAGGTTTAAGAAACGGCTGTATGGCTGTAACCTGGAGCGAGGAGTCCATCACAGAGCAAATAAGAGGTATATATATATATATATTTTTAAAAAAGGATAGATAGACCTATGGTGGCTGATTGTACCGTTTGTTTAAGCCACTAATATTAAGAAGAGTCGCCTGAGGAACACTGACTCAAAAACGTATTGCGAAAGAGCCAGGAGGGAGCAAGAGGTAACTGGGTACTTTCAATACTTTTCCCCCCCTTCCTTCCCCTCTTATCTTTTCCCCCCTTTTCTTCTTTTCTCAATGATCAAAGCTGCCGTTTTTACAGAAGAAACCACGACCAAGGCTTGGTTTCCACAATAGACCAAGCTAAGAATATACTCAACAAACGATCCCATTTCCAAATTAAAACTTCAATGGTTTAGCTCAGGGGTGTCCAAACTTGGGAAAATTCCCAAGTTTGGACACGCGTAGTTTAGTTGTTCCTCTTTGGCACGTTATAACACAAAAACCTCCAATTCTGTTCCAAACTAAAATGTTTCCTCTAAGAAATGTTGTTCTTAGCGACACCTTTAGCTATGCATCCTTAACAGAATTTTCATCCTTCTCTTTTTTCCCTTCCCTTGCCAACACCACCCATTGTGGGGAAAACTGTATTTCTTCCCTTGTAAGATAAGCAGGCCTTCACTACCATCCATAAACCCTTCAAGGGCAAGGAGGAAGCATCCCCCCCCATGCCCTGGTGCTTGTTGGGGTTTTGGAACTTTTTACAAAGAAGAGGGTTGAGATAGTCCACTAACTATATAGTTGGAGAAATGTGAAAAGTGAAATAGCTACTCTGTTTTGTGGAAAGAGAACTCCAGAAACTTGGAGCCCATGCACAATTTGTCAGTACCTGCATTTGTCTCAGCCATGCATTTCCTATATAGAAAAACATCCCAAAATACAGATGTGCACCAACCCTAAAAGAATCCTAGGGTATAGACCTATAGTAGAGCGAACAGAACAGCCACAAACACTTTTTTTCATAACTGGGGTAGCCCTCGTTAGGGGAATAAAAAGCCGTGTTGCTTCCAGAAGCAAATCTGAACAAAGACAATTGAGCAGATGATGGAAGGTTGCAATTTGATGGGGCAATGTTGATTGAGGGTATTAACATTCAGCCTACATATGTTGTGTGCAAATTCTGATTCCACGTTAATGACCGTTTTTCTAGTTATAAGGGCTGGAGAATCACACTTTCACTCTTGAAATTATGGAGACGCTTTTTAGATGAAAGCAGAGCGCATTTTGTCAGTTATATACAGGGTGGAAAAAAGAATGGAGTCTTTTTCTGCTCCTTAAGCCCAAAGATGATTCCTCAACCAGTATCCCTACACGGGTCTGCTGGAGTTTCCCACCTGTCTGTCACGAAGAGGCATATACTTGGGTACATCTGAACAAGAGGAGAAACGCTCGGTTTTGGACAGAGAACTTTACACGTTATTCTCCCTAGATGTCACAGTGTCCATTCATTCATACTGAACCTGCAATATTGCTGGGGCTCATTATGGAGGTGGTATGAAGAGCAATATATTTCCCTTCTCCATTTACATTAAGATCGCGACTGCTAAACAATCTTGCGAGGTTGTTTGTAGCGCAGAGAAACCATATGAATCCCTTAAGTGTGTGATGCTGATGCAAGTCAAACGGGGTTAAACGCATAGAAAATAGTAGCAGCCAGCTGGATTAGCTCCCAAGAGTGAATGGATGAATGGAAATCGGATGAATAGAAACCCTGAATCACATTCATCAAAACTGACCTAATAATGGTTTATTCCAAGAAATTATCTCTACTAGAATTGGGATTTTTGAAGGAAAAGTGATGGGACATACGTTTGAGGAGATGGGGGAGGAAAAGGGCGGAATGGAACAAGAAGTCACCATGTGACAATTCACCATGGGCAACTTGTCAGAGGACAAGAGTTAATATTGAAGAAATAGTTGAATAGAATCATTAAAGAAAGGATTGCCAAAGGAGACACAAATGAAATGTGAATGACAAAAATATATTTTAAAAAAACTATTTTAAATAATTAAATTGAATTGTTGAATTGTCCTGGGACGAGCTCTCCACGGCAAGTTGTCGTAGGCCTGGAAAAAGGGGGATTCCCTTACAAATATCTAGCAACTTGTCCTGTCCTGAATTTATCTCTGACAAAGACTTCCACAAAGGAAAAAGTTGACCAATTGCCCCTAAGCAGCATGCCTTTTAATGGGAGTCAAGTGCTGGACCATCAGATGGGGTGAGAAACAGAAGGAGAATTTTAAAAAAAGAGTAAATGTGGGAAAGAAAATGTGTTCAAATTGAAAATGTCGCTTTTAAAAAAAATGCTAACTTAAAACGGTTCCAATAAATCAGATAACAGTAGTTGAACTAGGCTGATTTGGCTTCCCTTCCCTCCCAACCTCACCAACACAGGGTCCTTCCCCCTCTTCACAGGGATATCTATCTGTACAGAACACTTTATAGATGTACTAGTTTTTAGAACCCATCCTAAATTTAAAAACAAAAAAGATGACTTTATATATTGAACATAAAATTTAAAAAACTTACAAAATGGTCACCTCTCTTACAGAATGGATGCAAACTGGATTATGGATGTGCCTCCAGGCTAAGTTGGTTTCTTCCCCCCCACCCTCACCCCGCACCCGCCCTACCCCACTTTCATAATAAATAAATAGAATTCATTAAGTTTTGGATGCTTTAGTGATATGGAACTGTTACTGGGCTTTCTTCCCTGTCCCATTCTTGTCCGCAGTGTTTGTTGAGGTTAAATTCACTGGACCGTCAGGATGCTTTGAATCCTTGCGTGGCGGCATACGCTCGTTGACGCGATCCAGACCTCTGGCTTCTTCAAAGCTGCGGATCTTGTGTTGCGGCGAAAATCCACGGATGGCTACAGGGAGGGAAAAGGGGCAATTGGAGGCATTTGCAAAGAAGGCCCGTTGACTTGTAAATACTTGCTCCTCTGCTGTCATGCAGAGGTTGTGTGTGTAGAGCATGCGTCTGACTTCTTCATTCACTCTACGACCATGTTTCCGGCAATCTAGGAGCCATGTGAGATACTTTCCCTCAAAATATTTTAAAAAGATTTATTATTTCTGGTTGCGATAGGCGATGTTTCCACATTTTGGCTTCCAATAGCAATAGCACTTATATACCGCTTTGTAGTGCTTTACAGCCCTCTCTAAGCGGTTTACAGAGTCCGAATCAATTGACTCATTTTTTAATCTTTAATGCTTCAAAAACCCTGTAGGTTATGATCAGGGTGAAAAATCAGTAAGAAAAAAATATATAAACATGTTTCAAGAGATTTCTCTCCAACTTTTTAAATCTGTTTAAAAAACATATCTGTTTGTCTGTAGCCTAAATAATTTTTAGGCAAAACTGTTAATGAAGGCATTTTTTTTTTCACTTCATAGAACTTCAAACCTAATCTGGGGAAAAACAAATTAGGAAGTCAGACAGATGCTCAGCGAGGGAAGCAAAGGTGCGGTGAAAATAACAGCATTCTTTTCAAAGCTGGGAAACATAACATCAAAATCACCGAGTACTAAATCAAAGTCATAGTCTTCAGCACAGAATACCACACACACACACTAAAACACACAGATTTAAAAAAAAAAACACCACACCACAAAAAGGGGAAAAGGAACCAATCTTTGAATGAAAAAGTCTTGCATGACCATGAACTGGGTGCAGAGAAAAGCTTCAGGTATGTATGGCCAAAGCCTCTTCACCCACTTGGCACAGCTTTAACACTTTCTATCCAACCCAGGGCTGAGCATAAATAATTCTGCAAAACCGTTTCCCTGAAAATACAACCTACCCTGAAAGTAAGTCCTAGCTTGATTTTTACATGTGTGCCCAATATAAACCCTACACCCGCAAATAATCCCTAGTTAAGATCCCGCCCACTCCAGAGTGCAGGGGTAAAAATTAAGCTGGGGGGGGGATGGGGGGTGGTGGAGCTGCCCTACTACTTACCTTTGGACAGTTGCAGCCAGGCCTCACACACCACATCTGCCTTGCCGGCGCATTTCTTCTGCAGCCAGCAAGGTTTTCCTGAAGGCCTCTGTAGCTGATAATAAAGCTCCGGATTGATCCAGAGCTCTGTTACTGGTTGCAGAGGCCTTCGGGAAAGATTTGCCAGCTGCAGAAGAAGTTCCTGAAGGCCTCTGACAGCAAAAAGGAAGCTGATGGTGACACACGCAAGTGGGGCTAGTCAGCGGATGACATCCCCCCAAAATAAGACCTGGTGCCTCTTTTGGTGGCAAAATATATATATAAAACAGCCAAGCAAAATTTTTGAAATATTTTTGCATCTGGTCACGAACAAATGCTCGGGTGGTGATCAAACACAGCCGCGGTGATTTCCCTCCTGCGGCATTTCCCCTGCCGTGCCATTTTTTAATATGTGCATGCACAGTCAGCCTTGTTTCCAATCACGCCCAAATCAGATTGCGGCCGAAGTCCTGGAATGGATTATGGTTGTGACTGGAGGTTCCGCTGTATGGACTATTCCAGAAGTAGTATTCAGCCAGTTCTGACAGGTTCTGGAGAACCGGTAGCGTTAAATTTTGAGTAGTTCGGAGAACCAGCAAATAGGCTGGCCCCGCCCCTCCCAGGCGATCTTCTTTTGTTGCCCTGAACAGGAGAACGGAGCTGGAAAACAGGTTAGTGGGCTGGGGAGGGAATGGGGATTTTGCAGTATCCTTCCCCTGCCACGCCCACCAAGCCACGCCCACAGAACCGGTAGCAAAACTTTTTGAATATCACCACTGACTATTACATCTCTGCAGCTATTGAAACTCAGCACCTTTTGTTTCTCAGAACAACAAGGAAAATCGGCCAGTTGAAGTAGCCGTAAGGCAGAGACAACAGAATGCATTTGGGCTCTTACTGAGGTGGACAATGAGGGTGGAGGATGTGCCAAGCAGGTGCTTTTCTCCTTCAGCTGCTCTCTGCTTCTGGTGATGCAAGAATATGGATTTTTTTTGTAATGCTGACAATAAAAGTCTTGGATGAGGGTTTAAAAAAAAAAAGATTAGCAAACACACAAACCATCTTGCAAGATTCTAGCCATACCTTCCCGTGCCTCTACTGCTTCTACTGTGGCTGTAATACAGAAGGAACAGTGGCATGCAAAAATAAAGACAGAAAAGCGTGAGTGAACTTTAACATCACTATGGTTGCTTAAGAGACTTAGAACCCGCCCGATAACCCAACGAGAGGAGGAGGGTGATGATGGCTGAGCAGCAGAACAGGATGGCCAAGAGGGCAAGAGGTGAAAGTGCATTGGAGGTTAAATGTCGAGGTGTCGACAGATTGGGAAATGGCTCTGCTGAGTTTCCAGGAGAGTGGAATCTAACCATTGGCTTGGAATCAACTTTTCTGTGAGTGGTTGGATGGGCGCTAACATGCGCCCAAATCATTCGCACTACAGCATTTCACAGATAACCCCTGCACATCACGGTACTGAAGCTAAGCAACCACTTTTGAAAAAGTTTCTACATGAAAGGGGTGCTTGTTTTAGATGACCGATTATTATTGGGAAAAGGATGTGTCAACCATGAAGCTGACCTGATCGCGGCTATTTTGAGGCTTCAGTGTTGCCACACTGGAGCTGAGGGAGAGGGAGCGGGGGAATAGAGATAGCTGGGATTTTGTAGCCAAAACAAAACACTTTCCCCTGAGAACCAAGGACATTCTCACACCTGGTCAGAGAGAGAGGAGAAATGACGTCAGCAAGCAACCAGACGGCACCCTAATTGGACCATGTGACTGATTGTTTGGTGAAGGGGAAAAACTTTTACTTTTAATTACCGTATTTTTGGAGTATAAGACGCACCTTCCCTCCCTAAAAGAGGGTAAAAATTTGGGTGCGTCTTATACACTGAATGTAGCCCCACTCACCCACTGGCCCCAACTCTTTGGCCTCTGCCTCCCAGCAATTTACCTCCTTGCAAACGGGGGCATCGGGAGAAATTGAAAGTGAAATTTGCTGTTTGCCCCACGAGACAAATTGCTGGGAGGAAGAAGCACATTTTTTTTTCTTGTGCTAATCAGGCTGTTTGCTGCAAGGAGGTAAGTCAATATCTATAAATGACTATAGAATGTTCAAATTATTAGACTTATTTTTTAAAGACTGGAAAAGCCAGAGCTGAAGAAGCTTCTTAGATGAGAAGCGAAACATCTTCAAAGAAAAACCAAAAAGTCCAGTTGCCTTTTCAAAAAGCACCTTTGGGATGTACTGTATTTTTTGGAGTATAAGATGCACCGGAGTATAAGCCGCACCAAGATTTTGAAGAGGCAAATTTTTTTAAAAAAATTGGGGGAATTTTTTTTTAAAAAAGGGCATGAATAGCCTTTAGGACCCTTGTAGAATGCTCCTGGGGGAGGCCAAAAATGAGCAAAAAACGGCCCATTTTTTTTGTCAAAAAAAGGACATGCACAGCCTTTAGGAGGCTTATAGAGTGCTCCTGGGGGCTGGGGGGAGAGCAAAATTGAGCAAAAAATGGTGCGTTTTTCGCTCATTTCTGCCCTCCCCACCCCCCAGGAGCACTCTGAAAGCCTCCTAAAGGCTATGCATGGCCATTTGGGTGAAAGGGGCAGGGTTTCAGGAGGCACAAAATACGGTATTCAGTATGTAAGACACAGCCAGATTTTCAGCCTTTTTTTTTTTGAGGGAAAAAGGTGCATCTTATACTCCAAAAAATACAGTAAGTCAGAACTCAAATACTTGAAAAACAGGCTGCCTATTATTAAAACTGGCATTCTTCTACTTCAAACTGGTGAACTACCGAAGCCATGCAATCTTCTCATAAGCCTCTGAAAACAAGTGGTATGTTAAAAAAGCTTCATGAAAACATTGTCCAGCTTCAGCGGTTTGTCTGCTTGAGGAAGAATGCTGTCCACCATTTTTAGTAACGGGCAGCCTGTCTGTAAATATGAGTGGCTCGTAATTTGGATGTTCTTCACCCAAGGACTGCCTGTAATGATTCTCGACTTTTGCCAATCCTAAGTATACACCACTTCTTTATGGCTTCATGCCAGCAAAAGCATTCTGAAGCTATTTTCTTCATTTTCCAGAGTGCGGTCTGCTTCTTTGCCGGGGGCCTATCTGACAATAGGCCTGTCTGATATCCTTCAAAATGGCTCCAGAAACAAAAGAAGCACCATCCAGCCTCCACCATGGTTCCTTAAAAAAGCACGGTCTTTTCCTGGGCTTTCTTAGCCAAAAGGAGCACCAAATCTTAAGAGCAATTTGGCACTCTTTTGGTCCATGTGACACTCTTTCCTATAACATGCTTTCTTCACATACAATGAGAACGTAATCAAAGCAAACCGCAAGAGAGGAAATCATTCTTCATGGTATAACTAAGAAGTCATCTGATGTTAATAGGAAGGAGATCAAGCTGATTTGAAACTGAGTTCAAATGCTGGCAGTAGAAAAAGATTAACACACTGCACTACAGATATAAAATTATAATTTTACAGATATAAAATTATAATTTTACAGATGTAAAATTATATTATATTGTTCATGTTCTTTGTATTTTTATCTGTTTGTATTTGGTTTTGTATTTTTCCCCTTTTCTTTTTTCCTTTTATACTTGTGGTTTTTTAAATTTGAAAAAGTTAAATAAAAACTATTAAAAAATAAAGGAATCTGTAATATCTCATTGTGAGATCATGTAGTGATTTCAGTAACAAATTAAATGCAATGCAACATGTTTCAATAAGTTGATATTTTTACAATATGTAACTATTATAGAACACATTGTTTGTGTGTATGCTTGTGTGTGTGAGAGAGAGAGGGGGGGAGGGAGGAAGGGAGGGAGAGGGAGGGAGGGAGGGAGAGAGGGAGGGAGCGAGATGATAGATTCCATAGTCAGGATGATAGCATCAGTCAATATTTGTACACAGTCTCTATGAGGAGACAAAAAAGAAGTTTGCAATATTATATGTGAAGTGGAAATTTAGATTCAGAAGGTTTTTTCACTCTCACTTTTTCCAACAAAGCAGAAAGTTGGTAGATTCAGGACTAGTAAGTATCATGTACATAAAGCTGCTCTTTCAATACATCCAGCAGACATCAAAATGTGCACTTTTAGATTATCACTATTAAATGGCTAGGAGGAAAATACTGCTCTTATGTTCTTTTGTACACATTCCAGGTGACATTTGTTCAGTTACAGTGAGAATGTAATGTTGGGCTAGAGAGAATTTGGACCTCGTACAGCGAATCTCAGCTTTGTTGTTAAGGAAAACAATTTGCCAAAATGTCAATTTTTTCTTGAATTTCAGATAACACAAGCAATTTGATTGACTGGAACACCTTGATTGGTTTATAAATACTACATGCTCCTCAAAGGAAACCTTCTTTAGATCAAGGAGGGGGAAATGAAGGCATTTTTTGTGGTTTTACTGACTGATCCAAGCTACCGGGGTGAGCAACATCTGGTTTGGTGTGAAGTACAGAGATGGCCTTGAAGAAGAAATTCAACAGCTGTCATATAAATTTCAGCGAAGCCCTGATGAAGAGGAGTGGGTAAGAAATAAAAACTGCTCTGCCTTGGTCCTCTTTAGAATAAGAAGGGAAAGAAAGAATCTTTGCCAGAGTTTCAAGATTCTGTTATTTTAGCTTTAACAAACAGCAGAGTCCCAAGATTTCATGGGATGTCTGTTTCCTGGCCAGGTTCTACCTGAGAAGTCTGACACCCTCCACATGTTGATATGTAGCAACTTCCATCATCCTTCCTTACTGCCTATATTAGCTGTAGCTGATAGAAGAACAACGTGATCTGGAGGACCACAGGTTAATTTAATCTGTGATCACATTCATTATTTTATGCAAGCCATCCTGAGTCCCCTTTTGGGATGAATTGGAAAAAAAGGCCCTGCAGATTTTACTCCACTAGTCATGACCAACTTTAGGGAGTGATGTTCATCTTTATTTCGAGGCCATTGAGCCCACACTGTCCGAAGACATTTCCTTGGATGTGGCCAGCATGACATCACAGGGTGCACTGTTACCTTCTCACCAAAGTAGTACCTATTTATCTACTTGCTTTGTCAACCCCTGAGTTTCAGATAGATGGCTGAATTGGAAATTCAACTAGGCATCCAAATATCTTCCATTTCCTACTCAAAACATTGTTCTGTATAACTTAACTAGTTATACTAACTTAACTAGTCTGAAACTCACAGAGTGTCACACAAAAGCTTCCGGTTGGTTTCAGTTTAGCATCAACAGGGTAAATGATGCAAAACTGGGGAGGAAATCTGAAATCTCCACCAATCATTTTCAATGTGATCACTAAGAACAGATGGGTCAAGGGCAGACCAATGGCAGTGATGTATGCTCTTTTTCCCGTCAACAGAAGCCTAATTGTTTATTGGAGGGAAGCTCTAGATAGTTGTCCCAAAGAACATATCTACACATGCTTTAAGTTTCTGGGTTCAGCAATGATGTTATATGCATGTCTTGGAGATGATCTTTTCAGCTTTTTTGCTGGGTTTCTATTAAACTAAAGTGAGGGGCTTCAACCTTACTTTTCTACCAAGTAAAAGTAGTTTATTGTATCTTCTAAGTTTTATTCATATGCTACCTTGGAACGCCAGATTTGGAAACTTAAAAGAGTATGGCCAGACAATCCAAGGGGACCCTTACAATTCATCTTTTTTATGACAAAAACCTAGACCCTGTGATGGGAAGGGAAAAGCAGCCTCAATTTAACCTCCTCCTGCAATATCCAGTAGCTTCCTTAAGGCATGTTCAGAAGCTAAATTTCCATTGCTATCCTTCGTATCCCACAATGGAAGGACCTCACTTCTGGCATACTTACCTGTCTGTAGAGTCTGCTTCCCCCCTGAGAGGACTCCCATTGGCAGAGTACCTGTGGGGGTCAGGCCTTTGAGCGTCAGCACACTCTCACTCTCCTCTCTGAAAACAGAAGCAACGAGACCAATTTATACATGAGCAAACAGATAGAAGCACATCAGCTCTTTAGGACTCTGGTACTTGAAATTCTGTAGAAGGGGGTTTCCCAACCGCAGCAACTTTTGAGGTGCCTAGATTTTGACTTCTTGTAATTCTTAGCAACGGTGGCACTGTGGTTAGAGTGCAGTACTGCAGGATACTTCTGCTGCCTGCCGGCTGCCTGCAATTTGGCACTTCAAACCTCACCAGGCTCAAGGTTGACTCAGCCTTCCATCCTTCCGAGGTGGGTAAAAATGAGGACCCAGATTGTTGGGGGCAAGAGGCTGACTCTGTAAACCACTTAGAGGGGGCTGTAAAAGCAGTATGAAGCAGTATGTAAGTCTAAGTGCTATTGCTATTAGCACAGGGGTCTCCAACCTTGGCAACCTTAAGACTTGTGGACCTCAACTTCCAGTGTTCCTCAGCAAAGTTGCTAACCTTGGCAACTTTAAGACTTGTGGACTTCAACTCCCAGAGATCCTCAGCCAGCAAAGTTGCCAACCTTGGCAACTTTAAGACTTGTGGACCAACTCCCAGAGTTTCTCAGCCAGCAAAGCTGGCCGAGGAACTCTGGGGATTGAAGTCTACAAGTCTTAAAGTTGCCAAGGTTGAAGATCTCTGTATTAGCGGCAGCCATGCTGGCTTGAAAATTTGGAGAACTGTTGTCCAACCATCTCAAGTAGATGAGAGTAGTAGTACAGCCTTTCTTTGAGGGAGACAGAAAGATAAAACGAACTAACAAACTAGCTAGGCTTGGGAAACATCTCTATAGAGAGAATACCTAAATGCCCAGCCAAACAGAGACCCCCTGATGTAGATCAATTACATTTGATCAGAAGGTGGCCAGTGGGTATCATCAAATGTTATTATGGCACCATGTTGCCAACCTCTGCTTTAATCCGTGTGTGGAATTAAGCAATGAAGCCTTCTTGGCTTCTACCTAGATGCAAGACTGCGTAGGATTCACATCCAGCCTGCTTTTGATTCCAAGGAAAAAAGAAGGTGGGACATATGGGATAAAGAAACAGCTGATACTCCTTAAAAGCTTCATTATGGGGAGATTATTATAGCTTTATTGATTAGCCCTCAGGCCATATCAAAGCACAAGGTTCAAACGCATATCACCAATAAAATCTACAAACAATTTATAGTAAGAATAGGGTAAAATAGAATAGTTATAGGATAAGTTACAATATAATTTAATACATAAGTATATTAAATAGAATAAATTAACATAAAATTATATTTCGGTGTAGCCCTTACAATCTACTCCAATCAGTCCCACGTATACAGATCTCAACTGAACCATTTTGCTTAAGTCCTGTGCTGTGTTAAATGTTATTTTTAGGTTCTGGCTACACATAAGGTAAGTTGTTTTGATAGGGGGATCCCAATGGGTCCTTCGTTTGGTATATTGACCAAGGTACCTATCTCTCACCCCCTTGTACAAGCAACAATCAAACAGGATGTGAGCCAGAGACGCTCATTGTAGGGTATAGAACGGAATCTCCCATATCTGACCATTGTGTCAAGCTGCTTGAATATCGCTCACGTAAATGTTTCACGTAAACACCCTAAGATGTTTTGGCAGTTGTAATTTCAAATAGCTGTCTACTTGAAAAGTGCATTTGCTCAGCCATTTCACGTTACCCACCTTACTAAGGATAGCTATATCATTTTATGCTTCTATATCCTTAATTATGGGAGATGCATTCCAAGTGTGGCCTTACCAAGGCATTCTAAAGTGGTATTAACACTTCATGTGATCTTGATTCAAACTATTCAAATGATTTTTTTTTAAAAAAAACCTCAATAAGATATGTCTTGCTAAAACTCTGGTTCCAGAAAGAAGGACCTGCACACTTGATGTATGTGACCGACCTTTGTGCTTGAGGATTTTCAATCCTTCAAAACCCTTTTGTACTTTTCCCAAATGGGGCTCCTGGCAAGCATCTTTTGAGCTGTACTGATACAACAGGAGCAGTCTGGCAAAACCATTAAGCAGCCTTTCTGACCAAGATTCCCAAGAAAAGAGCCAGCTTACCGAAGAACTGAAAAGACTCGTGCCATCTTCCCAATGGCTCTGATCTTATTCCGGATGATCTCTTTACGGGCAGTTGTACCTCCTTAGGAAAGAAGAATCAAAAATGATTTTTTTTTTTAAAAAAAGGATGAGGTGCAAATCATGTTTTACAGGCTCAGTTGATGCCAGTATGCAGCATCTACTTGATTCTAGGAAAGAGAAACCAGATTACAACTTTACAGCTAAAATTGCATTTAGTCGGTTACGGAAAAGTCATGATCAGAATGGAAAAAGGATAGCGAGTGACGGACAAGGCAACATACAGGAAAAGTCCAACATGGGAAGAGAAATGACCACAAGAAGAAATATGCCAAGTGTTATTCAGAGCAGCAGACCTCTCTTGCTTCCCACCAGCGGGTCGGACCACACAACACCAGGGAAGTAACATGAATGACTCAGCCACAGGGACACAGCTTGGCAAAATGCGAGGACACAACGACAAGACCGAGTGAAGGTGAAAAAGGATTCTGGGCTGTGCTTGCCGAAGGGAGACCGGTCATACAAGCGCTCTCTTCAGATGAAGAAAAGGGACGGCTAGAACTTTTTGCGGCCTTGTTCGAGCCCTTGTTTAACGCAGCATGTTAGGGTTAAGCCCACTCCCTTTTACTACACAGACCAAACATGGATCAAAAAGAATGGAGACTTGGGTGGGAGGAGAGAGGAGACAGGTTTAGACTACAAACTGAACGGCAATTACATCTCCTCTGAACCAAGATCTTATTTTGCTTTGTTGGTTATGACCCAACTAGGCATTAAGAACAAGGACAAGCCAAACTGGAGTTCTGACATGCACCAATAGACCCAGCCATGCATCAGGTGGCTGCATTCAAAAGTCAAGAGAAATGTGACCCCATCACACACCGTTCAATGTTCCTTAAGGAACAAAATAGGGTTAAAAAGAAAAGAAGAAACAACAAAACAAACGCACCACATTAAAACTGTTAAAACTGAAGGAGGGAGGAGGGAAAGGAGAAAATGGCGAGACTGTCCAACTAGTCAGCTATTCAAAAAATCCACTCCGAGGAAATCTCGTGGCACAGGCAGTGAGAATTAAGCTTTTAGCAAATTCTAGCTGGGTACCTTTCGGATAGCTTGAAATGTAGTTATCTTCAGGGAGAGGAGACACCAAGTATACAAGGAGATGGAGATAGAGATAGAAGAAACAAATTTAATTTCCATGGGAGGGAGCGAAGAACATTTAAAAAAAAAATAACGCAATGGGGAAAGGAAGCCATTTTCTTTTGCGCTTCTGCCAAGAGCTCATCTGGTTAAGTTTTCCTCTCTTTTACTAAAAACCTCATTCACCAAACTCTGGATGGCAATCATCTTGGCTTCTGCTTTCCACATGTTATCAAGTTACAGTAGTACAAAATTGTGGAAACCTTTTGAGAAAAGTGTATTTTTGAGGGTTTGATGGCTAACAACACTACTTTTTTTGGGGAGTAGTGCCATAAAATTATATACCAGTAAAAAGATAATTTAATCAAGAATGTAATGCGACAAACTTTGTTCAATTATCTGTATTTTATGAAAAGTTATAGCCAAATAACCAAAAAGGAATCACAACTTGCTTAGATTGATATCAGGTAGCTTTCCTTCATCTGATTGTAGCCAATGAGTGTTTAGAGAGCCAATCAGGTGCCATCTTGTTTGGGCAATGAGCCAATCAGATCACAGTTAGATTCAGTTACTGATGTCATGTATTGAAACTGAGAGGAGGACATTTGTCAGTGTGTTGTGTGATCAATATCAAGTTGGTTGGGGTTTTTTTGTGTTCTTTCATTTAGCGAGCTTGTAAAACATTAAAGTAATGGTGCAAAGAGTTGACTGGTCTCCCAGAAAATGATGTAAATTAGTATTATTAAGTGAACAAGGCTACAAAAGAAATTAGAAGAAAAATTCCTGGAAACTTAACCAAAGGTGGCATTTCTAAGTTTTTGAAGAGGTATAAGGAGACTCAGTCACTACAAAACCACACTGGTAAAGGCAGGAAAAGGTGCACAACAGCAAGTGATGATAGAAGAATTAAGAGACTGTGCCTACATGACAGAATAAAATTATCTGGGTGTATACAAGATGGTGCAATGTAACGTGAAGTTGAGTGCAAGGACTGTTCGGCACAGATTGCAGGAATTTGGCCTAGAATCTAGAATTCCAAGGGGAAAAAAAGCCACTTTTATCTCTTAAACAAAGGTTGCAAAAACTAAACTGGGCTAAAACCCATGTTACCTGGACAGAGGATATATAATTTTATAGTACTACTTTAAAAAAAAGTGGTATTATTAGCCATCAAACCTCAAAAATACTGTACACTTCCCAAAAGGTTTCCACAATTTTGGCCACTACTGTAAGTATGACTAAGGGGCAAAAAAATGAGGTTGATTTTAGTCTTGAAGAGTATGCAGAAACGGCAGATCAAATCTCTCTCGTGATCAATAACTAAAAAAGCATTGCTTCCAGAATCTTTTTCATCTGTTCATAGCATTCAAACTAGACGGCAGACGGTGTTTATGTTCCCAATCAAATATTTTCAGGTTACACGAGGCTATCAGGTGCTCCCAAATGTAAAGAAAGAGCCAAAACAAGTTCCCAGAACAACCCACAATATTGCCAGGCATGCAACTTAACACACATATTCTTGCAACCTAACGCACATTATTTCGCTTAAATTGTTTTAGGCATGGATAGGATAGTCTTCATTAACTGTAAAAAACATCATGGTCCCATCCTGCCCAGGATACTTCTGGAGTCAAGTTGAGCTTTTCTTTAAAAAAAAGAAAAGCACAGAAAAATTGGCTGTAGGTGATAAGCGCCCTTTACCTTAAAGATGACATTGACTGGACCAGATGTTGATGACTATCTGATCGAGTCAATTTCATTCACAACTCCGTCAACTTCTCCTAGGAAGCAGTGAGCAAGCTTTCTACTTTAATCCAGCTTCTTCTGTTTAAGTCTCCCTTTCCGTTTTCACAATGTTCATACAAAGAGCAAGCTGAGAGGTCAAAGATAAAGCCACGATAGTAGAGTGGTGGATGGGGAGAGGGGTTAGTACTTCTTTATGCCCAAAGAAATAACGGCCTGTAAACCAGCTGAAGATAGATATAACAAGCTTAACTTAGGAATGGAAAAGATGGCAACAAAATAGTGCTAAGAAAAAGGTTGTGTATTTCAATGTTAGAACCCCTCTCTCTCGGGATTTACGTGAAACCACCCAAGACCCTGAAAATATTACAAAAGGGGCATTACCATCCAATATTTCTTCTCCATCTGAAATCAGCTCATCATCGGAGCAGATGTTGAGAATGTTCACCAGCATCTCCGTAACTGCAGGAAATAGGGAGAAAAAGTGATGAAGCGGCAATGTCAAACGGTTGGCTGGTTCTAGGTTCCAAAGTTCTTTGCTTGCCTACTAAAGTATAGAATTCTTGAGGGCCAAGTGTGATGAGACAGACAAGGAATTCATCTCCAGTGTGTAAGCTCCCAACAGACATACAACAATAATGACAGATCATTATCACAGTCGTTGTAAAAATGACTTCATCATGAATCATAAGATACAACACTTAAGTGATAGTCATGGATATTAAAGAAGCAATCTACGCAAATCATACTAGGATACTAAGTAAACAATATAAATAATTCTAAAGTAGCTTTAATCTGGCAGCAGATTCAGACAGTGAGGAGGTTGGGGAGGAACATGGGCCAGTCCTGGAGCCTGGGGAAGGCTCTGATGAGGGCTCTGCGTTAGAGGCAGAGAGGGGGCCACAGCCGTATGTCAGTTATCAGCTGCCTTCAGAGTCAGACGTCAATGAGGCAGAAGAACAGATGGAGCCTGTTCCCAGTGTGCGCATGCGCAGAGTTGCCAGAGAAGGGAACAGCTAACGAACAAGAGCCGACTTGGGAGTAAGGCCACAGATGGACGATGAATGGCCTCTCCCAAAGGAAATAAAAGAGGAGCGAAAGGGGAGTGGAGTTTGCAGGAGACCATTAGTTCGCTTAATTGGTTTGTGACTCTCTGAGACTCCTTGCCAAGTTTTGCAGATATTAGCCTGGCAGTTCTCCAAGCCAGGTAAAGTCTGTGACTGTAAATCCTCCCTTGAAAGACTCTGCTGGATGTGAAGGAGCAGAATTCACAGTAACTTCATAAAAGGGGGTCTGTCGGGACCAGGACATGCTCTTGGGAAGCCTAGGTCAGAACAGTATGCACAATCAGTCCACCCAAGGGGAGGTCAGTGGGACCCATACGAAAGGGGACTTTTAGATGAGGCCCCCTCCCTTCTCCTCATGGAGCAGCCTTCTACTGGGAGTGAGATCAGCAACAGTTCTGATATTTCAAAAAGCCATCCAAATGGAGTTATTCCGTAAGGCCTTTCAAAGCAGATATTGTCTCCTGTGGATGATGTTAATGGCCGACTGAACAATGATTACATCAGTTTTAACTTTTTAAAAGTTATAGATTTATTATGCTTTTATCTCATACTGTTTTTTTTTTACATATTATTATGGTCACAAACCACCAGGAATGTTTTCGTCATGGGGATACATAATTGAATAACAAGGGTAGAAGACTGAAGCTGTGCTCTTTCTGAACAAATGAAATAACTGTTCAAAATTGAATTGCATTCACGGAAGCAAGCGATATAATCTGTTATTTCAGAGGCAGAAGCCATCTGCACTAAGCTCTTGGATCATGATCTAATGATCATTTGAATATAGCTCTGAGGAACAGCCCCAAGCTCTCCTCATTCAGCACCGTCCTAACTTTGATTGAGTTGCTGAGTGTTCTGACCCAGCTCCCCAGACACAACAAAACCCTCTGAAATTAACTCGAAGATTCCTTTATTAGGATTGCTGGCAACCCCGACAAAAAAGTTTCTCTCTCACTGCAGGCTAACAAGTCCGTCCATCCGGAAAGTGAATAGTTGTCTGCCACATCTATTCATCCCCGCCCCCTGCCTTTTCTCCCCACAGGTAGGGTGGGGCTTCGCTAGCAGCGGTGACTCTTCGGTTTCAAGGACCGGCCCATAGGTTTCCACTGCTCTCCTCTCCTCTGCCTTCTGCACATCCCTGTGTCAGGCACTGGACCCAGCTGTTCCTCCTCTTCCTCAGACCTGGGGGCTGTTGACTCTCCACCTGAGGACTGATGGACGGCCCAGGCTCTGCCTTTCTCTCTCTCTCTCTGCCAGCTCCATTCCATCTTCCCGCTAAGAGCTCTCAGGTAGCCTTGATGCTGACCCTGATTATCTCATCTGATTGGCTGCTGGATTGGCCGACAGGCCACAACACTGAGCAGCTGGTTGCAATCAGGGACATTCGTTATTTTTAAGTTGGACTGACACACTACAAAATTTGATTTTCCTTTAATCTTATCTATCAAAAGATGCAATTGGACAACTCCAGTATGGTGCTTGGCAGCACACCTTGAACATAAGATGCTCAAGGATCTGTGTTAGGTGATGTTATTCTTGAAGTATGGTCTTCCTTGTGTTTCTCACCGGTTGTGGGCTTTTGAACTACATGTGGCCTTATGTTGAACTGGCAATTAAAGAAATTATGTAAGTTTTGGAACTGGAGAGTTTTAAGAATATTGAAAGTGGCAGCCAAATATAGAGTCTTTAAAGACTGGCATAAGGCTTTGCAACGGTTATTATTTTTTCAAGTCTCATAATCCCCAGGGAAGTGCATTCTCTCTCTCACACACACACAGATGAGGGACTAAGGATAGGATGTAGTAATACTATTAATATCTGTTCGGACTACAATACAACTTTTAGGAATCAGAGTCAAGTCTATGGAATGAAGACTAAATTAGCTCCAGAAGAAAGGGTATTTTAGGGAAAAACCAGCAAGAAAAAGATAATTTAAACAAATAAGCTTTGATGCTTGAAGAACGGAGGCCCCTAATGGTTGTGCCTACTTTCTCAAGACAGAGATATTTAATCACAACTGCCATCATCCATTTCCCAGTACTAACAGAAAAATGCTGATTTTGTTCAATAGTTTTTTTCAAACTGTTCACTACAGTAATACTAGTCAGTAGTCTGGTTATTTTTCTTAAAGTTTAACAGTTGCTCTAAAAACAAGATTTTGCAGAGTTTCATCAAAATAGAGTGCCTTAGTAAACCAAAGGCTCAGGGTCTACATCTAGCCCAGGCTAACAAATCCTACAGTTCCAGAGGACTTTTTCCTTCACTTCTTGGTTAACCTTTTGACTACTGGCAAGTGTTCATCCCTTACCCTTTTCTCCTACAAAAGGCAGAGACCATGTGAAAACATCCATGAAATTCGGAAGCCAGTATGGGTGCGGCGAGCAGTTGAACTGTCTGATATTCATGACATTGTTTTCATATTTTAAAACAGCAGCTGGAAGGAAAAGAAAACGGGATGAGTGCTGATTTGTACCTCCCTTCCAAGATTTACAAGGGCTCCAAAAATACAGTCCTGTTGATAAGTTAAGACGTCTATTAAACAAAAGGAAACATCTCACCTCAGACAAAAACATTAAAAAAATTTTTTTGCTAGAGGCCAACTGCTAAAAACTGAAAAGAAGAAGAGTAATGCCATGTCCAAACATATTCTAGTGCTCTTTATTACGAATCCTGGCCTTACATGCTCTTCTAATCCACGGGTGTCCAATTGTTACTGTCACGTGACATTTCGTGATGTTTTCCCCATTGGTGGAGCTGGGGTGGGCGTGGCCTGCTTATGATGCATCTGGCCTGTGGGCCACCAGTTGGACACCCCAGTTCTAACCTAACTGCAAGGAAACATTAGCTTCATTTTTCAGTGGCCCTTGACTTACAACAGTTTGTTTAGTGACAGTTTGAAATTGCAACAGTGCTGAAAATGTGACTTATGACCCTGCTGACTCATCCCCATGTCATCATCTCGGTTTACAGCCTTACAGCAGCTGGTCAGCTATTAAATCGTCATTATCCTGACAGCGTTTTTCACTCTTGCGATCATGGTCACGTGATCAAAATTCAGCCGCTTGGCAACCGACTCATATTTACGATGGTTGCAGTGCCCTGGGGTTGCATGATCCTCTTTAGCGACCTTCTGACAAGCAAAGTCAATGAAGCAAACCAGATTCACTTAACGAACTAACAGAGATTCACCTAACAATTGTGGCAGGAAAGGTCATAAAAAGGATCAAAGTTCAGAGGAGGAGCCAGCGTCACAATGATACATTGTGCGGATTCGACTGTCCGAATCCACTGATGACACTTTTGCCCCTGGACGGTCCAGCAGGACCTAAACCATCCCGAAGAGACGGTGACTAGGAATAGAAGACCTTGCTGGTCACAGGGACATCGCAAAGTCCCTGATCGACTCAAGGGGAGTGCTTCCAACCGGCGGCAAACAGGCACCCCCACCCCCTCGGCTGACATAGTTGGATGGCTCCAGGAAGAGAGAATGAAAGTGTTTCTATCTGGTGAGGGTTTTTTTTTCTTTTAGAAGATTGCCCTAAGAAACTCTTTTCTTAAGCTTAATTAGTCCATTAAGGAAGTACAAAGTGGCATATTTAATCCCCATTGGACTGCCTTCGAAAGTTTTTTGCTCTTGCTTGTAATATTTTGTGGATTGAGTGATTGCAATGCTTCCGTTTTTTCCGCTTGAGGTGAAGGGATCTTTTTTTCCCTTTACTACTTTAACTTTTTTGGCTTAAATTAAAACACTTTTTACTTTAATAAATTTCTTCTTCTACTTGTTGCAATATTACATTGGAGATACTTAAGGAAAGAGGTTTTAAAAGAATTGAATCTGCCACTTGGAAGCCCAAGTCTGAAGCTTTTTTTCCTTTGATGTTGTAACAATGTTTTCTTTGTTCACTCTTATCTAACTATACTGACTGCACAACAAAAGGGTTTGGAACATCTCTTTAAAACTTGATAAAGACACAAGGTCACAAACAGTGGTGTGTGGAAAATATTTTGACAAGAATTGGAAAAGGAAAGAAAAACTTTAGAACCCTTCTTCTTTAAAAACCATAAAATAACATTTGTCTATAATAAAAATAGATATATTCTTCAAAATCTGTGACAGGCTAGAGTGGCAGATAGTACCAAATTCTTCTTCTTGCTCTTTCTCTATATTTTTCCTTACTCTAAAAAATGGAGCAATACTCAGATGAAGAAAACTTGTTAATTCAAAACATTTTGGCTGGACTTCAAAACATCTCAGAAGGACTTGAGAGATTTGACAAGAAATGGGACAGACTATGGGATATTACAAAAAAAGATGATGGGTTACAAAAAA